GAAGAAGTCGACGCTGGTTCTCTCTTCGTCCTTAAATCCAAAGGTACGTATTATATATGTCACACGTATTAAACCCACGCTAGTTATACATATCATGGATCTATTGGTTTGTGTTAATGTCGTCGATGTTTCAAGAATTCTGTATAACGTATGTTGTTGACAAAAAAATTAATAAAAATATTGATTATGATGGGAACTAGGGACATGGTGGCACTGCGGATTCCACTTGACGACCTCGATCGTAGCGCCGCCGCTACTGAGCCTACCGTACGCTTTCAAATTCTTAGGATGGGCGGCCGGAATATCATGTTTGGTGGGAGGAGCTGCCGTCACTTTCTACTCATACACTCTCCTCTCTCTCACTCTCCAACACCACGCTTCGCTCGGCCACCGTTACCTCCGGTTCCGTGACATGGCCCATCACATCCTCGGTATTTCTTTTTTTCACCTTTGATATTATCCTCGACACTATAATCAAAGCTGAACCAAGATTATCTTTGCGAATTTCATTTGAAACTGATATACACAGACGTGTCTATATGAAACTTCTACGTAATAATTGATACACCGCTCCAATCATTGCATCCACACAATAAAGTATATATTTGGAATAAAATATTTTTATTTTTTTTTGTGGATACGCAACTTAGAATGTGCACAACTTCTTTCTTTCTTTTTCCCGAATGTCAATAACATGTAATGACACAATACTAACATATTCAAGTTATAGGATATATTTTTGGTAATTACTATGAAATCAAACCTATTATGCCTCATTCATTTTTTTAAGGATATATCATTAAGTTGAAGAGATTATAGGACTAAATTCGGAGCAAATTTCAGATTCATAATCAATATTAATTAGGTTTGTTTATTATATAAAAATAAACTTAATTTAACCAAAGTGAAGTTTAATTTAAGACGTGAATTATTAAATTTTGCTTTAGTTTAGGATAAATGTTGTTCTACCCTTATTAACTTTGATGATATGAAATGTAAAGGACCGAAGTGGGGGAAGTACTACGTGGGACCAATACAAATGGCGGTGTGCTATGGTGTGGTTATTGCCAATGCTCTCTTGGGAGGCCAATGCCTTAAAGCAATGTATTTGGTAATGGACCCAAAAGGTGAAATGAAACTCTATATGTTTGTGATGCTTTTTGGAGCCTTGCTCTTGGTTTTGGCACAAATCCCATCTTTTCACTCTCTACGACACATCAACTTCGCTTCTCTCCTCCTCTGCCTTCTCTATAGTGCTTCCTCCGCTGCCGCCTCCATATACATTGGTACACTATCTCTTACCAATTCGACTCTTTAATTTCACACGAACTTGAGCACATTTCGATTCGTTTTAATTAATTCATATGCTCTATTCTTTTGCTATTATATATGGACACATTACATGTCAAGAAAATCTGATTTTTACATTCTCTAATAACTAGTACGAGCTCCAGTTTAAGATCCACTGGTTAGAACAAAAAAAAAGTATATGTCATTTTAAAAAAGTAAAAATATGGATTAAATCCAAACTTTTTCTTTTAAATATCAGGAAAAACATCTAATGGACCAGAGAAGGATTATACAATAACTGGTGACCAGGAAACAAAAGTGTTTGGAATCTTTAATGCTATGGCTATTATTGCCACTACTTACGGCAACGGCATTATACCCGAAATTCAGGTTACTAGCAAAAAATCAAAATTTTAAAACCCTAACTATGATATATTTTTGGAATATTGAAGTTTGATATATAAAATCTTAACTTTTTGCAATACAGGCAACATTGGCTGCACCAGTCAAAGGAAAAATGTTCAAAGGATTATGTATGTGTTACACTGTAGTGATAGTGACATTCTTCACAGTAGCCATCTCAGGATATTGGGCGTTTGGTAACAAAGCCAATGGACTCATATTCACTAATTTCTTAAATCCAGAGACAAACCATTACTTAGTTCCTAATTGGTTTATTTTTCTCATCAATCTCTTCACCGTCCTTCAACTATCGGCCGTTGCTGTGGTAAATACATATATACAATAAACTCGACATCCTTATGCATTTGTTTGTCACATTTCTTGTTACTAATTTTGAGTTATGCAGGTCTACTTACAACCGATAAACGATATTTTTGAAAGTCTACTCAGCGATTCAACAAAAAAAGAATTCTCTATCCGTAATGTCATACCTCGACTAGCCGCACGTTCCTTCTTTGTCGTGGTGGCTACAGGCGTCGCGGCAATGCTACCATTTTTTGGTGATATAAACTCCTTGTTAGGTGCTTTCGGTTTTATGCCTCTAGACTTTGTTCTACCTGTAGTGTTCTTCAACGTAACGTTCAAGCCATCTAAAAAAAGTTTCATTTTTTGGATCAACACTTTGATCGCCGTGGCTTTTTCTAGCTTAGGGGTGGTTGCTATGGTTGCAGCAGTTAGGCAGATTATTATCGATGCTAATACGTATAGGTTGTTTGCAGATGTATAAGACATGCAAAGAAAAGTGAGATTGTTGTTAAAGTATAAACTTGATTTTTTAAATATTTATATTATCCCTTATATATTAATTAGAAATTGATTTGTGAGAAAATGCTTCTGTCTCATCTCTACAATCACTCTCACCAAAACAATTGTGACATAGCTTGTCAAAATTGTGACATGGCAATTTTGAATCAATAATAAAATCTTCTATAACTAAATTTATAATTGTTACCATAAATAAATCAAAAGAGTTTTTAATCAATATATTATCAGATTTTCGTTTTTATTCTAAAATTATATAAAAATTTGGTTTCTCATTTAAAAATAGTTTAGAAATTGTTTATTGTAATAATAAAATTATAGAACATTTTTATAGAATAGATATTCTTTTTGAAAATAATAATAAAGATTTACTAATTTTAAAAGAGATTTTGATATGTTTGTGAAAAAAACTTCCCAAGTTTATAAAAAAAAATATAATTATTCTTTTGAAATGTTTTTTAATGCAAAGTAATAAAAACATTTTTTCATTCGAAAGCAACAATTTTTTTTTAATCAGTGTTTTATTTATAAAATTTATGATTATATATTTTAATGTTTTAAAATATTAAATAATTTATTTGTATTCTAAATTCTATTTAAGATATTCAGACAAGCATTTAACATGGTTTTTTCTAACTCTAATGTATTAACTTATTATTTGACACGTTTACATATATAAAATAATTAAATAGTAAAAATAAATTTCTGAAATTCATATTATTAATAAAAACGATATTATTGACAAAAAAAATTAACAACAAAATAATCAACAACATTGTCTATAATAAAAATGAAAACAACTACATATTTCACATTTTTAATGACTAAAATTAAAAACAAAATTACATAAATAATTTATCCGCGTGTACGCAGGAGAATCACCTAGTTTAAGATAATAAATTTGAAAAAGAACATTCAACTTTTGATATATGAAAAAGCAAACCGGGTCATCTCAAGGTTTTTTTCTTTTTCAACACTATTAATTTCAGATATTCGTACACTGTTTTAGTATGTTTTCATTATAAAATTAAGTATTATGTCGACCAGATATATTTCTAGAAACGAAAGCCCCAAGTTAAAAAGACAAGTTGGGGGAAGGGATATGTCTAAACCGGATTGGGAATATCGGTTTGATCGGGTTAGCCGCAGAAATTATTTGGTTCAGGATATAGGCTCATATTCAAGCGTGTTGGTTCGCCTTAAACCTCTTAACCACAAATTTGAAGGAAATATAATCAAATCAACTTTATATAAAACGATATGACAGAGACATCAGGAGATAGAGAGGAAGTAGTTGACGCAGGTGCTCTCTTCGTCCATAAATCCAAAGGTACGTATTATTTGTTATACAAACTAACAATAGATCCTTTTTTTTTTTTTTGGGGTCAAAACTAACAATAGATCCATGCTAGTTATACATATCATGGATCTATTGGTTTGTATTAATATAAATGTCGTTCAAAAATCCGCATGTTGTTGACAAAAAAAAAAAAACGTTGATGATGATAGGAACTAGGTACATGGTGGCACTGCGGATTCCACTTAACCACCTCGATAGTGGCGCCGTCGCTACTGAGCCTACCGTACGCCTTTAAATTCTTAGGATGGGCGGGTGGAGTATCGTGTTTGGTGGGAGGAGCAGCCGTCACTTTCTACTCATACACTCTCCTCTCTCTCACTCTCCAACACCACGCTTCGCTCGGCCACCGTTACCTCCGGTTCCGTGACATGGCCCATCACATCCTCGGTATTTCTTTTTTTCACCTTTGGAATTTATCCTCGACAATATGATCAAAGCTGAACCAAGTTTATCTTGCGAATTTCAATTGAAATTGATATACACAGACGTGTCTATATGAAACACCGCTCCAATCATTGTATCCACACAATAAAGTAAATACGTGGAATAAAAAGGTTTTGATTTTGTGTGGATACGCAACTTAGAATGTGCACTACTTCCTCTCTTTTTCCTGTGTCATAACTTGTAGTATTATACAAATCTAAGTAATGATACAATGATGATACTAGCACTAGTCAAATTCTTTATAAATTAATATTGTTTTAGTAATTACTATGAAACTAAATCTATAAGGATACATCATAAATAAGAAAAGTTTATAGAATTAAATTTGGATCAAATTTAGGATAAGTTTGGTTTACCCTTAACAACTTTGATGATATGAAATGCAAAGGGCCGAAATGGGGGAGGTACTACGTGGGACCAATACAAATGGCCATGTTCTATGGTGTGGTTATTGCCAGTTGCCACTGCTCTCTTGGGAGGCCAAAGCCTTTAAGGCAATGTATTTGGTAATAGACCCAAATGGTGAGATGAAACTCTATGAGATTGTGATGCTTTTTGGAAACCATTTCCGTCCATGGTTCTTAAGAGGTTTCTACA